TAATATATAAAATCGGCAAAGTATTAAACTTTAAAATTTATCAAATTATCTTCAAAATCATGCATTTCTAAACTAGCAATTAAAGAGATTTAAAGACATCAACAAAACTATTGTACGAACAGCAAAACTATGTCTTTTCGTACAATGTTTTCTCTACTTGCTACAGTGCTTGTAGAGATGAGCAGTTTTAGGTGGAAAAATTCCACATATTTGCAATTCATTCCCATTCATTTCTCAGCAGAGACAAAATATATCTTACATCAACAGATGTTTTATTGTAGAGAGTAGAGATCAATTTAGTTTTATTGTAGAGAACAGCAGATCAATTTAAAAACATCTTCCTCTAAACATATTTCCTTGAACTCCAACCCATTTAAAAGTGGGGAAGATTAATTTAAATCCTCCACAGTCCACCAGCACACTCCAAGACTTTCCTGAAATCTTCAAGAAAAGCTATGAATTACTAGTGGGTTAAAAATAAGGTTGGGAGTGGCTGAAATAGTGATAGTCTGGAGAGAATGTTGCCTGTGTAAGAAAAACTACCAAGTTAAGTTTGTGGACAGGAAGCAAATAATTTGCAATTTGTGACAAATTTAGGACTAAGTAATGGATACAAAAAGCAACAATCATTGTTCAAGCTTCATGTGTACTGCCTTATCACATTTTTTTCTTTATAAATACAGATACATTTACAAGTTAGAAGCCAAAACTGGAGGTGGCAGCAGTATTAGTGATGATTACATTGTTCAAACACCTGTATGGACACCAGAAGAAATCCATCCTCCACATAATATCACAGTAACTGGCCCTTATTCCATATTTGTCGCTTGGACACCACCAGGTAAAAAAATAAAACCTGTGTGTGTGTGTGTGTGTGTGTGTGTGTGTGTCTGTGTGTGTCTGTGTGTATAAAATATTTTAAAGGAAATTAATTGTAAATAGGTATGGAACTGTGAATTTAGTAAATCAGAAGGGCACGGTCTCTTTGATAATATGAACAGAATAATGTGAACCACACTCCTGAGTGTATAAATGCATGAGTATATACACACACATAGATAGATATAGATATATAGATGTAGATATATAGATACCTTTCTATGACAGCAATACTTTTTTTGTTGAATTGGAATTATATTGTATGAATAAATTCAAAAGGATTATATATTTCTTTGGATTATATGGTTTTACATATACACATTTGTAAAGATTTCAATGGAACAGGGAAGGCCAAGATTTAAAACATGGAGACCAGCTTGGAGGCCATGGCAGGACTCCATGAGAGAGAAAAATGTGGTTCGGATCAGGAGAGACAGCAGTAAAAATACAGAGAGCTATCTAGAATCTGCAGGGTTTGATGATAGCTTACATTTGGGGGTAAGAAAAAAGGAAAATTCTTTTTGTGTGTTTTGCCCAAGAAAATGGATAGATGGACAAGATTAGGAGATACGTACAGTGTTGAGAGGAAATCGAAGAGTTCTATTTCGGATGTTTTAAGGTTTTGATATATAATTAGTCATACAAATGGAGGGGTCAAATAAATAGTTGGATTCTTAAGTCTGAAGTCCAGGAGAGAATTTTAATCTAGAGATGTGCATTTGGAAATCTTCAGCATATAGATGATATTTAGAACTGAGACTGAATGAAGGTAACCTAGGAAAGTCAGTGCTGGAAGAGAAGAAGAGGAACAGAAAGAAGAGGGAAGATGAGGAGAGGAAAGCGGAGGGGTGAGAGCCTAGGTCTCTGAGTACTACATCATTATGAGGTTCAGGAGGGAAAGAGAGCCACTAAATGAGGGCAGAGGAGTAGACAGAGAGGAAAGTAAGCACAGCACTGGCGTGAGAGGGAAAGGGAAAGGATGTTTATTTGTTGAATTGTATAATTCAGGTAAATACTTCCACATATTCCAGGTAAATAGTATCTAAGTTTAAACTTCCTGGACATTCTCCCAGGCCTTGATTTAAATTACAGTCAGGGCCACAGCCAAAATGGAGAAATTTTCCAGTAGTTTTCTGGCATTCACTTTCTAAAGGCAATTCAAAAGTAAAATAATCAAAATGATAATAAAAAAATGTTTACAGCCAATTACGTATTTCATCTCCAAAGTAAATAAAACATATTTTTGTTCCTCACAGTGAGATTTTTTTTATCTGTTGTCTTTATCAACAGATAAAAATATCATAGTTCATGAGGTGATGGTGTGACTTTTGATAAGGTGTTTATTTTATCCTAACAATAAAACCTCATTGCGTTATTTTTGTCAGGAGTTTGGATGACACCTCGACACATTATCATCAATTCTACAACAGTGGAGTTATATTGGAGTCTGCCAGAAAAGCCCAACGGCCTCATTTCTCAATATCAATTGAGTCGTAATGGAACCTTGCTTTTCCTGGGTGGAAGTGAGGAGCAGAATTTCACTGATAAAAACCTGGAGCCCAACAGCAGGTAAACTAAAAGAAAACTTTACCAATCATACAGTAAGATTTGTATATTTTTCAGGGTTGAAAAAGTATACATGTTCCA